GACCTTGGCTATTCACCCTCTCCACGCCCCTTGTGATTTTATAAACCTCTATAAGGTCACCTCCGACTCTCCAGGGAAAATAGCCCCAGCCTATTCAGCCTCTCCCTATAGCTCAAACCGTCCAACCCTGGCAACATCCTTGTAAATCTTTTCTGAACCCTTTCAAGTTTCACAACATCCTTCACACAACAGGAAGACCAGAACTGAACGCAGTATTCCAAAAGTGGCCTAATCAATGTCCTGTACCGTTGCAACATGACCCTCCCAACTCCTGTACTCAATGCATGACCAATAAAGGCAAGCGTACCAAACACCTTCTTCACTATCCTATCTACCTGCAACTCCACTTTCAACGAACTATGAATGTGGTCCCTTTGTTCAGCAACGATCCCCAGGGCCCTAGCATTAAGTGCATAAATTCTGCTCTGGAGAGAAATAATTCTGTTTTAAATCCGCCTCCCCTTAGCCTAAAAACTCTAATCTCTTGTCCTAGATTGCCCCACGTGAAGAAATATCCTCTTTATGTCAACTTTGTCAATCTTCTCCAGCATCTTTATGTACTTCAGTTACTTAGCTCCTCTCTAGGCCAAAGCTGCTCATTGTCTCCTCATAAGACAAGCTTTTCATCTCAGGAATTCATCTAAAGAACCACTTTGTGAACTTGAGTGATTAACTAAATTGGTTGTTAGTGTCGATGCACTGTTAGCTATGATTCAGCAACACCTGCTGACCAATCCTGTTTGCGCTAATAGCTGCACTAATAAGCCCTGAGTCCTTTCTTTAAACTTGTCCAGCCAGTTATAGTTTGTTTTATTGATTCTTCTCCCGATAATGCTGTGGGATCCGTGAGAGAGTACAAAGGAAGTGAGACAAGCAATGAGCAATTGTGGTGATAAAGGGCCCATGCAGACACAGACACAGGGTCCAAGGCACAGGTACTAAGCAGGCAGGTGTCAGAGCAAGGGTGTACACAGGAAGAGACCACCAAACAAGGGGCTGAACACGTTGATGTGGGTTTACTCAGGGAGACAAATGCCAGGTTACAGCAAAGAGAAGCTTCCTACCGGAGACAGGACAGTGAGAAATGTTGGGCTTCTCGAGTCGCAGAAGGTGTACCAGCAGGGTGAGGGGCCGCCTAAGGCAAGCCCAGAGCTGCAATCCTACTGCAGAGACAAGACAGAGCTCAGGCTTCACAGGAGGCAGAGTGGCAACGTGCGAGTGAGAAATACCTCAATAAACAAGACAGCAAGTTCCATCTCCCTCTCCCCGCCCAACAACTGCTCCCCGCACCAGACCCAGTCCTGACCCCACGACAGCAGTGAGTTGACGTGAGGAAACAATTCCCAATTCCAATCCAGCAACGGCAGGGAATGAGGTTAGAAATGATACCAATTCAAATCCCATGACAGTGGGCACTGAGGGTGGAACTAACTTCTGATCCCATTTCTGGGCCAGTGGGAGTTCAGGAGTGGAACGGATTCCCAATCACAATATTCATCTCCATCCCCCTCCAGTGGCTGCCTCCTCCATTCTCTCCTGCTTTGGCATGCCTTCCGTCTGATTTCCCAGCCGGATAACGTCGTCCTGTTACTTTAAATATCCAACTGCTCCTGACGCTGGCTGCATTTCCTCAGCACTATTGTTCACAGCCGGAGACACAATATCACTTTTACAGCACATTGTAAACCCAGCTGACAGAATGTCAGGGTCATTCCTCAAGTCGGAACGCAACACTCCTTCTCATACCCCTTTTGTTTTACTATCCTTATCTCTCTCTCTCTCTCTCTCCCCTCCCAATGAGTGTTGCTCAAGTCTGTGCTTCCTCCCCAGACTCTCATTCAGAT